TCCTGGGATGGGAATATGGACTCTCAGCTACTCCACTCAGGACAAAATCCAGCCACAACATTATGGCTTGTGAGGAGGAATGGCTAATGTTGAGATTTAATGTGCAACCTGACCTTGAGCAGGTAGTGGCCCTGTCTGAGAACAAGTTTCTCAAAAGCCCAATTCTCAAACGTTGAGATTCATTGCCATCCACCTGGTCAGCCCTCGGGGCATAGACCTGTATACCTACTATGTGCCAGGCATTGCTCAAGAGATGGGAAGAAGGGAAAGCCATGGAGACCGACACATAGATTCTACTGAGTGTAATATGTGCATAGATAAATTCTCATTGATTATATAGGTGATAGGCTCTATGGATAAAGGGGGAAAAGGGAGCTGGGGGAGCATCCTAGTGGTCCATTAGAGAAGTGACAGCTCACTCTGGAAGTTACCCTGTGGTCCCCATTGACAGGAAATAGGGTGCACAGGTAGGAAGCTCGTTTTGCTTATGTGGAATAGCTTAGGCTCCAGCTGGCTCTCAATTCCACCACCTTATCACACAGCCTCATTAGCCAGCCTTGGAAGCCTGACACAGGTGTTCACAGATGATCGGCTTTTTGTTCTTTGAGGCATGGTTCTGATCTGAAGCCCAAGTTGGCACCTACATCAATCCCCCTGCCTCATCCGCCCAGGTGCTGGGATCACAGCTTTGTAGGCTTCTGAATTATGAAGAAAGGTTTCTCATCAGCCTCCAGATGTGTTTCATGGATGTATGTCCTTGGTGACAGAAAGAGGCTATGTTCTTGTCTGGACTCTGAGGCTTTGCTCATGGTAGTGGGCATTAAGGGGCTTCGAGAGGCAATCTCAGGGCATGGCAGGTATATACACTTGTGTTGTATCAACCAGTCTGATGATTAGATGGGGAAGCAAAAGCTCAGAGAAACCTTTTCCCTGGATCATGCCATCTGGGGAAAGCCACTGGTCGTTTCTATGCAAGCAGGCCTCCTATGAGGCCCAAGGTCACACCAAAGACCCCTGGACCCGCAGAAGCAAAAGGGCCTATCCTAAAGCCTTGGCTCCAATGCTTCCTCGTCACCCCTCCAGCCTGTCTGCTGGCAGGAGAAGGGTGTTGCTACAGCAAATAAGGAAACACAAGACCCTTTGGGGCAGGAAGCTGGAGGGCTCAGTGGTTAAGAACGCTTGTGTCTATTGAGGAGGACCCAGGTGCAGTTCCAAGCACCCAGCTGTTGGGTCCCAACCATCTGTAACTCCAGTTTCAGGGATAAGATGCCCTCTTCTGACCTCCTCAG